TCATATTACCATTTAATTTATTTTCATTGATTAAATTTAAAAAAATATCATCAGATTCTGATAATACCAACTTCCATAATGTCTCCCTAATTAAATTTTACAAACAGAAAAATCAGTATTAATAAATTATTTTTATCACCCAAAGTCAGACAATTCTGACATATTCTTCATGTTTAATGGTTTTTTTAAAAAATATATGTTGTGCATCAATTTAAAATTGGATTTGACATGTGTGGAACTCGAATAAACCAATTGGAATTTTGCATCCAAATACCCCAACATATATTTTGAATTGAAATGATGTTGAAAAACATACTATCAATAAAAATAATATCTTTAAAAAAAACCACTACAACCATTATTTTTATACCTTAAATTTTATATTGGCATCTTTTTCAGTCATTAATCCAAGTTTTTTATTTATTGATAAAAGTAATTCATTAGTTTGATCTTGTTTTTTTTTGTTAGAATATTAATATTATCCATGATTTTTCAGCATGGTTATATTTTTATTTTTTGACAAGTTTGAATTATCTATAAAAAATATATGCAGATATATTATTAACAAGTTTATACAAAGAAAATATGATATAAATTTTAAATGCCTGAAGAAATAATCAACCTAGAGTGTACCTATTATTGTTGTTGTTGATTTTACTGCTTGTTCCCATTAAACTATCATTAGCATCAACATCTAATAATATATAATGTTTGATAAATTGATTTTTAATAATTAACAAATTAATTGTTCAAAATAAATTTCCAATATACCAGAATCAATAACATGGAGCTCTGAATTTATAAATGGTGATTATATATCTTTATTCAAAATTAAATATCAGGAATATGCAAAATATATTTTAATATACAAACCTTTTGTTTTAAATCTTTTCTTTGTCAATTTTGAAGCATCATGAGCTTATAGAACATTCATTAGATAAAAATTAAACACCTGTCTAATTAAAATTTCAAATCAGGTAATATAATTATCATATAATACTTACATACACCTAAGTTTCTCCTCTTCATATTTTAATTCATATTTTTTTTTAAAAAAAATTATAATGCATAAAAATGAAAATGTAACACTATTATATTAATTTTAATATGATTGATTGACATGTTGATCACATAACCAACTTAAAAACAAAAAAAAACTTTCAACAAATCTATGTATGGGGAGATGACATTATACCAAAATTACTAATTGCTTTTCAATAAATTTTATATGATGAAGTGAGGCTTACTGTATAGTTGGGCCTTTATGTATTATATATTTTTTGGTGCTTTATAGATATAACATTAATAATAGTTTGCTTATTTTTAATACATAGGATTTTGAAAGTCAAGGCAAAGATCACTTTCTAATATATATAACTATAAATTATATTATTTAATAGATTTTCTTACTGTGTAGTATTTCTTCAATTTAAAGGACTATTTTTTTGGTAAATAAGTATATGGCGAAGGTGTTATCCTATATGCTCTTATCTTGCTGTGGTATTTTATTTATGTGATTAATCAAAACATGATGTGGATAAATCAAATTTTTTGGTTATGTAAAAATTTATTAATAAAAATCCATATAATGAACTCATTTCATACCATAATATTTTAGATGACTCAACCAAAAAGAATATATGGTGGATGTATTAATCTACTTTATCATGATATTTTATTAAAGCAATTTAATATAGGTATATGTTGAAGAAGGTATTGCTTTGGACCAAAAAAAAATGTATGGCAAAGATATTTTAGATGAAGGTATTTATTTATGTGATTCAATTGATCAAACAAACATGATAAATATATAACGTAATAATATATTACTAATAATCTTCAAAACAGGATTTACTATTATGGTTGAACGACAGTCTATTGTTACGCGGCTATCTGGTAATAATTCTTATTGTATATATAACATTTATTAATATTTGTTTTCAAAAACGGGGCTTACTATTATGATTTAATGACAATTTGTTGTTACGCGACTATCTGGTAATAATAATTATATAACATTTTTTAATATTTGTTTTCAAAAACAGGATTTACTATTATAGTTGAATTTTATTAATATTTGTTTCAAAAACGGGATTTACTATTATAGTTGAATGACAGTTTATTGTTACGCAGCTATCTGGTAATAATAATAATATTTTTTATTATATATATATATATATATATAACATTTATTTATATTTGTTTTTAAAAAACAGGGTTTACTATTATGATTGAACGACAGTTTATTGTTATGCAGCTATCTGGTCTGGTAAGTGATAATAATAATAATTCTTATTGTATATTACATTTTATTAATATTTGTTTTCAAAAATGGGATTTACTATTATAGTTGAATGACAGTTTATTGTTATGCAGCCCTATAAAAAATAACATACGGTAAAACAGTACATGAACCATATTGTTTTACAGAATAGGTATGGAAAAAATGTACAGAATCTTCCTGTTAAATGTGCTGAAATGTATGGAATTTGTGTGGGATAGATATGGAGTAGGTGCGGAATGTGTATGAAACATGCACGGAATACACACAGTTTTTATGGAAAACATACGGAACCCATTTTTCTTGTACATTTCCCATATGAATTACATGATGTGCAAATGTGAAATTGGTGCGGAAAACATATGGAAAAAACGAATTCGTATGTTTTCTGTAAAAACCATGTGTATTCCGTGCGTGTTTCGTATGCATTCCGCACCTACCCCATATCTATCTCCCACAAATTCCATACATTTCGGCGCATTTAACAGGAAGATTCCGTACATTTTTCCATACCTATTCCGTAAAACAATACAGTTCATGTACTGTTTTACAACAGGAGAGAATGTACTGGGAACACAAAAATTAACAGGAGGGAATACAAAATTTTAACCCATGCAATTTGTTGATTGACCAATTAAAAT